GGGTGGGCGTGGCTGCGGTGGTAACGGCAGACTGGGTGGGACTAAAAAGTTCAATCAATCAATTCCAATTTTGCAAGAAGTTTTTTTTTCCCGCGAGAAGTTGAAATTGGTTGAACCTTTTTTTTTTTTGCACACGGCGGCGGAGGCCTAAAGCGAAAAGGTTTTATAAAACCCAGCTGAAGGCCTAAGATTGGGGCGACGGCGTGTGTGCCCACAGAGAGGGCTCTGAGTGCCGCCTCTGGCACCCATGCCATAGGTTCGCCACCACTGCTATAGTGTGTTGATGAAGTAATACAAGGGAAGCGGGTCAGTGAGTTTGGGGCACAGGGATCTGGGGCTCTTTGGTGATCTGAGGGCAGAGTTTCGGGGTCCTGGCCTCCGGTGTGCCCCACAAATCAAGACACCCCCTCCTTAATTTTTTATATTTTTTTTGGCTAGGTCGGCTTCACCAGTGCCCCAGGGCAAGGGGGGATCCTGGCCCAGCGAGAATTCGACAGGAGGTTTTCGCCACACTTCGTAAGTAATCTGACTTACACTCCTAATTTCCGTAGTTGGGAATAACGTGAGTACAGGTAGTCCCCAACGTATGACTGATAGTTTAACAACAGTTTGAAGTTCCTAGGGCTACTTATGTTCCAGAGTCAGGGTTCCAAAGGCCACACATACACAAGAACTTTGAGGCTTTGTTTTCCTTAAAAAATCCTATCACTGCTACATAGCTTTGGCACGTACATAATGAAACCAAAAACTGAATCCTCCCTCCCACAATCACCCGTAACAAAGCATAACTCACTCTTTCATTTTACAGTCATCAATCACGTTCTCCAATTAGTTTGAAGTGTGAACTTTCCCTCCCGTCACTCCTCTGGTTACAACTGACCTTGGAAATACTGTACTGAAATATTGTTGTGGCTAACTATCCCCCGAGTACATACTTTCCCAGCCGCTATTCTAACATTGTCTGACTTTAACTCTAGAAGTGATATACAGGTTAAATAACACATGCTTGCTTCTTCATATATGTCAAGCAAGAACATCCGATGTTAGCAGTCTTGACACACACGCACACAAACACATTTCGACCGCTTGGCAACTGCCCCGCGTTTACGGCTGTTTGCAGTGTCCTGCACTCACGTGAACTGTAGTTTACATTTTTTTTGCTGTGGGAAAAAAGCTGGTTTCCAGCTAAAAATGCCCCTACGGACAATGGATTTCCTTAACGATCGTGGTGTCCACCATTGCAGTGATTCCTTTAGCAACTGCCCAAAGACGGTTGTAAAGTCGGGCACAGTCGTGCGGTGCCCCGTTTTAACAACTGGCAGGGCGTACGAGTGTGATCCAGGCTCAGTTACTGTCATAAATCGAAGGATACCTGTAATGTTTGGATGCAAAACGTGGCAGAGAACAGCTTTTTCCCATGAGGGCCAAACCAGCAGAACCGCAGGAGGTTCTGGCCCTGGAACACACCATGTACTGACCCAGGTCGCGTTGGCAGATGCAGGCACCAATGAAGTCTTTTTATTGCACTGCTATACCGCGCGACAGATGGCCCTGCACCAGCCGATAAAGCTTCACCCCAAACTTTCCTGAAGGCAGCCAGTGCAACTCAGTCCCACAAACTAGATCTGAGAGTCCCCAGAGCCGATTCACAAGGCAAGGGGGAAGTCTGTAGTTTGTAAACAAGGTTCTGAGTCCACAGGGCAGAAGCACCGTCCGAAGTCAAAAGAAGCAGAGTTTACAAAGGCCAGGGACGTGCCCGCTGAAGCAATCCATTGTTCGGCCTGTCTGCAGCCGACCCTCCCCTGTGTTTAACCACTTCCCCCAGTGACAGAGGGGCCTGGGACAGCATCGTCCTCAGTCCCTGGACTCTCCAGCCATTCCGGGGAAGATATGCAGCTCCCCATCCCAGCTGACCACTTCCTCCAGGGCCGGAGGGGCCTGAGACAGCATCCTCCTCACCCCTGGACTCTCTAGACATTCCAGGGGAGATGTGCCATCCCTGTCGGATGGCCCCAGTTCTAGTCCCCCCCCCCTCCTCCTCCTCCTCCTCCTCCTCCTCTTCTTCCTCAAAGCCCCCTCCCTTCTAGCATTGATGATGTTACCTAGTTGGATCATGAAATGTCTGCAAGAAAATAACTAAGCTCAGAGAGCACCAAGGACCCCACAGTCCTCTTCCTCCTCTTCCTCCTCTCCTCCTCCTCCTCCTCCTCCTCCTCTTTTTCCTCTTCTTCCTCAAAGCCCCCTCCCTTCTAGCATTGATGATAATGTTATCTAGTTGGGTCATGAAACGTCTGCAAGAAAAGCACCAAGCTCAGAGAGGACCAAGGACCCTACAGTCCTCCTTTTCCCTCCTCCTCCTCCTCCTCCTCCT